ATTTAAATTTAAATAAAAATATAAATTGATATTATTAAATTATTAACATGTTCAAAATATATTTAAAATATAAATGGAAAAGAAAAAAAAATCCACCTTAAATGGAAGAGCAGTAAAAAAATAATGTTAAAGTGAATATGGAATATTGTTTGGAAAATAAGTTAAATGGAAAAACAGTAAAAAATCAAGCTATATAATTTTATTTAATCTATAAATACATTTAAATAATAATTTTATCTATTTAATTATCTTATATTTAAATTGGTTTTTTATTTAAATTTTGATAAACTTCAATCCATAAATATATTTAAACAATAAATTTATTTATTATATAAATCTATTCAGATAATAATACTTAAATTTTAGTATTTTATACTTTTATCTGTTAAATTTTTTTATGTTTTATATATTGACTCTATTCACAATAGATATTTTGAAAATTTTTTATTGCTAACATTTTTATTGTAAAAGTATGACAAAGTTTAGAATCTAAATAGATTCCTAATAACTAATTTTTCAAATATATCATAGATTTATATCATAAAATATTATTGCAATCGTATGATTAAAAAATGTAAAAATTATATATCAATTTTATTTAGCTGCACATGAAAGGCTTAAGAGACGTTATAAGTGTGGAGGTGTTATTGATACATTTAGTTTTTTTTTTTTATTTAAAATTATGCATTTACCTTTTCACTAAGTTGAATTGGTACACTAATTATTAGACAAATGGTTCCCATTTTGTAACATAAAAAGTAATATCTAGTTTTCATTTATATTAAGGTTTTATATGACCATGTTAAGGCATATATTTATTTATGAAATATATTTATTTATGAAATATATTTAAAAGTTGAAGATAATATAATAAGTATTTATAAAAAAATTAAAGATATTAAATAATATTTTTAAAAGTTATGATAAATTTAAATATCAATATTAACTGTAAATAAATTATAAAAGATAAATTATTTAAAATTTGATTTAAAATTAAGATAAAGTAATGCACAGGATAAAAGAAATTTATTATAATTTAAATTAAATTTGTATTAAATTTAAAAATTTTAGATAATTTACTAATTTTTAAAATATATTTTTTATAAATAAATTAAAATTAATAAATATCTTACGAGTCATTGTAATGAGAAGTTTAAAAATTATCTTACGTGTCGAAAAAATAAATTATCCACATAAACATTAACGTCAGTAATTATTATTTGATAATTATATATGTTGTAATAATATATATATAATAATATAAAATATTCATTTAAACACCCTTAAAAAATTATATCCAACAAACTTAATATTCCAGTTCCAATACCTATAATTTATTTTTTATCTCTAAATTAAAACCTAATTTACAAATAAAAATAAACTATATATTTGTCACGATTTCATTTAATATTTATATGTCAATTTATTAATTATTTTAATTATAATCTAATATATATATATATGCATGATGCTTTAGCTATACGTGAGGTTTTTTAAAAAATATTTATTAAAAATATTATTAAATTAAAAAAATTATAAATAAAATAATAATAATAATAAAATAAATCATGATAATTGTTTTAAAACATTGACTTTTAAATTATAAAATAATAATATTTAATTTATTCAATTATTAATTTTATTTATTTTGTATTCTTATCCGATTTGAAATTTTTAATTCATGCATAAAATTCAAAATTAAATAAACAAAAAGTAAAAAATATTCTCATAATTTAGTATATATTCTTTTATTCTTGGCTGCTAATCAGACACGTCAAGTATGGAGTCTAAGTTTATTTTATTTTAGTGTAATATATAATATTATTTTTTGAAGTTAGCCTACTATATTATTCTTATTTTAAACATTTTGTTTAGAAACAATTCATATAAATTGCCTAAAATTTTATATAGTTGAAAAACTTTTAAAATTTGTTTTTTCTAAGATTATTATTTAAAAATACAAAATTATTTTAACTTGCAAGAAACAATAAAACACAATAAATGATAATCAAAATATCGGTGGTGTAGCTTTTTATATATATATATATAAAATAAGTTTATTATGTAGCATATATGTCCATTAATTTATAGATAGCATTTGTTAATTTTTGCAAGATTATCATGAATCGAAGTGATTTTATTATCAAAATAATATTAATTATCGTGATTTAAAAATCATTTTATTTGATTGACAATAATTAAGCTTTATGAATTAAAAATTATTATGTTTGGTATTACTAAAAATTAGTTATTTTGGTGTTTAAAATTATTAAAATAACAATGCATATTATAATAGTTATACAAATTAATAATTTTAAGATTATTTAAAGATAATAATTTATAAAATATTAGTAATTTTATTTATTTTATAATAAAATATAATTAAATAATTAAATTAATAAATATATTTATTGATAGGTAAATTTATTTTTATAATATAAATGATGTAAAAAATATTTGAATTAAAAAATAAAACCAATCTATTCAATGATAATAAAAAGAAAACCAAAAAATTATATTATATATAAAATATTAAAAAAATATAAAATACACAAACCATTTTTGAGTTTGTTTTAATGAATATTAGTTTGAAAATATAAAATTTTATAATATAAAATAATTATAACTTTAAGAAGAAGCAAGTTTTTACTTTACATATTAAATGAGTAAATTTTACTATTATTAATTTTATATATCAATTTTTTTTGTGATAAAATTTTTTAATCTTTTTTATATAAAAATTACATTACTTTTCAAGATAATTATCTGATCACTCTCAATTATTCAAAATTACCATTACATAATATTATTGAATACTTATCAAATGTAATAATCTAATATTTACATGTAAATCACTATAATTTTTTAAGTGATCGTCACATGCCAAACACTATCATATTATTTTTATCGAGTCAAAACAACAAATATTGATTAGATACATCAAATGAGCCTATTTATTCTTTTTTATTTATTTTCCTTTTTTCCAAAAAAAAATTTTAAAAACAAAACCTTACTAATTTTTTCATATTTTTCTCTCACTAATTGTCTCCACTACCCCATTCTCAAAGCTAATCCCCTCATACTTTCTTGCATACTCCCATTTCTTTTATCCTTATTCTTTTTTTTTTTTAGTGGGTTTTTAAAAAATTCCTAGTTTTCATTTTCTTTTCTTTTTTTTTTTGTCTCTTCCTATTTATTTTCACTTTCATTATTGCCACTTTTGTCGGTCACCATTGGTGGTGTTCTCTTCATTATGTTCATTTAAGAGTTATATTTTTTTTCTCCCATAGTATTTGCTTTAAATAAAAAATAAAGAATTTAAAAAACCTTTTACATCTAAAGGTTTTTTTTTTTTGGGTTTTTAGTTGTATATTTTTTATTGTATTATTGGTGGCTTATTTCTTTTTTTTGAAAATTTTGAAATATAGCAAAATTTGAAAATTTTTCAAATGATGATGGTGGTTAACCATTTTATTTTTAAGTATAAAAAATATGAAAATTTTTCATATTTAAGGTGGATTTTGTCAATTTATTGTATGATTGTTATTTGTGTGTTTGGTTAAAGTGGAGTTTTATATTTTTTATTAAATTTTTGTGTTTTGATTGATTTTTTTAATATTATCATGTAATATAAAATCAATTAAAATAAAATATGAAAAAAATTTCTGATTATTCTCTGTTTGAAGTAAGTGATTTTTATTTTTATTTGTTAGTTTTCGACATCAAAGCACTTTGACCGCCACCTCCATTGCCGATTGTGAAGCATCCGCACCGATTCCACATAAAGCTTCTAGACTGTAAAAAAATTGTTTCTTTTTTTTTTTAAGAAATAATTGGTTGTTATTAATTTAATTGATTTTAATTATGGTTTTTTTTTTTTTCATTTAAAGGGGGCAGAAGCTCAATTATAAGAGAATTTGATTCAAAATCAAAATTTTATGTCTTTTTAATAGTTTTTATAACCACTAAATTAAAAAACTAAAGACAATTTTAATTATGTTGATCAGTCGATGAGGTGGATAATGAAGTAGCTAATTAGCTAACATGATGCGGCAATTATTTGATGACTTTTAAATGAACAGAGAAATTGCTGATTTGGCAAAAATTAAAGTTTAGGGATAAAATTCTTAAATTACCCCTGAAGCTATTTTTATGACGTATCTGATCTGTCTAATGATTCAAAGTTTAGGACAACTTTAATAGATACTAGAAAATTCTCTGGCTTTTTCTATCAAAATTTTTATTTTTTATTTTTTATAAAATATACATTTTTAGAAATTTTAACTTAATATTTATATAAAATTTTAAATTTGAACATTCTAATAAAATAATAATTGATTAGTAAAATATTTAAATTTTCTTAAAATTTTTTAATTATTTGAAATCATAATAATTTTATATAAAATAAAGTATGGTCTAAATATATTTAATAATATGTATATATGATTTTTGTTTATTCTAATTTTTTTTATAATTACTTGAATTTAATTCTCAAATTAAACAAATATATATATTTGCATATATTATTTTCAAAAATTAATCAATTATTATTACATTTAAATTTATTAGTTTATTATAATCTATAATATTTTTATTTATTTATTTATTTATTTTTAGGGCAATCATATAATATAGATTAAAAGTTAGAGAATAAGATTTTTTGGATACAAAACATGATGAAACAAAATATTCATTATACTTAAGCTTTTACTGTAAATAAAATCCTTCGATCTCATTTTACTCTCAATCCATCTCCCATAACAATTCCAAATCATTTCGTTTCCAGCTCATTTCTCATAATAAATAATGACATTTTGACCCTTAAATTATTTGTAACGTCAATACTTACCTGATTTTAAAAGGATATGGGATTACTTTAATAGCTTTTATATATACATATATATATATATATATATATATATTGTTCATGACATATATGATCCGTCTAATAATTCAAAGCTTAGTACAACTTTAATGGTTATTGATTATAGATATAGAAATGAAAAAACGGTTGTATATTAACAAAAGATAGGGACAAAAGGGAAATCATTGTGACTGGACTACATAGTCTTATTCACCAAGTACGATAACCCGACCATAAAGTTAACAGCACAAGAAGTCATGCAACGGAAATTAAACCTAGGAAACCCTCTTAACTCCTCAATTCTCCTTCAATATTTTCTTATCACTGCTGGATTCATTACCATCTGCTTTCTGGGAAGCACTCATCTGGGTTTCATTATGGGTCGAGGGGGAAGCACTCGTCTTGGTTTCATCATGGGTCGAAGGGGAAGCACCTACAATACTTTCGTTATGGGGCTCCGCAGGAGCAGAGGCATTAGGCTGTCTTCCAGACTTTGAACCAGCTTCCAGTTTCTCAAATTTGGAGATGACTTGTTGAAGCTCATCATTCAGATTCAGTGCCTCAAAGAGAATTCCATCATCATCAGTAGTGCCTTCTATGATCATTTGAATAACAGGCTGTGACTGCTTGCACTTCTCCAACATGCTCTCTGTCAGCTCGTCCTGCAATCACACAAGAACGTTTCTTAGTTTTTCAGTTTTCTTTTCCTCATCTTTTTTTCCTTCATTGTATCATTCTAATTTTAAAGGGGGTTGGCATGGAAGAGTGCATTTAATCCATTCCTATGAACCCAGATGATGTTATGCTGGTAATATCACATTTGAAGAACAAAAAGCTTCATGATGCAGCTAATAAAAAGCATTTTGAAAAATAAAATAAAAACTAAAAGGCAGTAGCATTCATTTCCGGATATGCTGAAGAGGTCAAAGAGCAGGTAAAAATTAAATGAATTATGGAAGTTAGCATCTTCAATAGAAGTTACAATAATGAGATAATATCCAATGATATAGTGTCAAGTGATGATAGCTGCACAGAAATGGTCGGATATGCAGCATGGTCTATGAACTACAAATTACTCGGTTACGATTAAATCATGCTTTCATGCTAGAAGCAGAAGAATTACCTTTGTGGGTTTTGGCTCTGTTTCCCTACTCAAAATGCTAGAGAGCACCTCAAGGCTGTTCCTAGTTACTTCAAAAAGTTCCTTCTTTTGTTCAACAGATAGACTCCCATAATTATAGGCAAAATCATTACCATGCAATCCTGTGTTATTGACAGGATAATTATCAGAGGGAGGCAATGGCTCTCCTATGTAAGACTCCAAGGTATGGTGCAAGAGGGGTGAGTTCCCATCACCTACTGACAGGTGTGTACTTCTTCCTTTCAAGCTCTGCTTTACATTAAAACAGGAGAAAAAGTAAGAAAAAAGCTGGAGAATTGCTGTCTTTAAATGCATGATAGCCAGCATGCAATTGGTGTAGGCAAATTTGAAAGGTGCTGGGAACCATCCATAGTAAGTTGAAAACTATAAGTGCATCCGAAAGATGAAAATTTGACAATTCATAACGAGTAGATAATTTAACAAAAATAAAATATCAGCAAAAAACAAAAACACATTTAGTAGGAGCCCTTCTTGTTAAAAGTTCTTCAAGAAACATTTTTACCTTTAAATTGGATTATGAAGTATCAAAACATGGGATAGAAGTGTAAGAGGAAGATAATGAAATGATAATGCAAACAAAGGTGACTTAGAAGCTTAAATAGTTGACTTGAGGACATACAACGTGCAAATTGGCATTTGCAACATTTTAATTCCATTATATTTTGAGAACATGAAGTAAAACCCTGGCTGAACTTAGAACAGGAACAAAACCTTGCAGTTGCTGGTACTCATTCTCCAAATTATTTTAATTCTACGACATGGAAATAGGACTGAGAAAGGCTTTAGTGGCAGGGAAAGGAGGGGAAGAACGAAAAACTGGGTCTATGATTTATGATAGCAAATTGTTATCAGCACTAGAAAAAGTCCAGCTGCCTAAAAGCTGATCAGCCTTTTAACATCGGAGTAAAAATAAGGAAACGTTTGTAATATGATTTAAAATAATAAATATTATGATAAATTTCATGTTGCTAAACATATCATGAAGAAGTCCAGAGATTTTTCCCAGGCATAACTAAAGATCAGCAGATTGACAGCTTTTATTGATATGATGCAATAATGAAACTACAAATGCCATTGCCCAGTGATTGTCATCAAAGTACCAGTAAAACTATGTAGAGCTAAACCAACATACAAGTATACAACACCAACACATGAAAGAACTCGAATCAAGGTGAAAATGGTTTACCATATAAGTTTGGTGAAACACAGGCAGGTAAGCCAGATCGTCAGACTGTCCCCAAGCACGAATCAACTGCAAAGCCCTTTCTCTATTCCCGTGATCCGTGTGCGGATTCTCAACCATCTTAACCATATCTTCCAACACTTTCTCAGAAGCCACCTCAGAAGCTACCTTCTCGCAATTCATGGTACAAGCTTCCAACAAATCAAGACTCAACCTTTGGCTGACAACATTTTTTCCGGATATCTTCTTTTTTATGGCCCTAACAATTTCGGTCCCATTAAACTCTTCACAATTGATCATAGAACATATCCTCAAGTTCATTCCCCAATTGGGTTCTTCTAAGGTCTCTAATGTGGCCTCATCGACCATTTTCGATTCGGGTGTTGGACCTTGTAGAATTTCCTTCATTTTCCCACTAACCATTCTACTCATTTGAGCTCCACCCGTTTTCAACTTCTCACCCCATTGAGCTAGTTTCATTTTATCCATACCCTCCCCGTTTTCTTAACTGGTTAAATCAAATCTCCAAGCTAAATAAAAAAGACCTTAGGTTGAAAAAAAAACAAATTCGTTAATATTACCGCAATAAAGTATGATTTTGTTTACTAGCAAAAATAAAGCAAATGGGTAAATCAAGATCATAACATGTACAGAAACAAAAAGCAGAAGAAACAAAAGAAAATAACTGAAATAAAGAGAAAAACCTAACGAACCTGCACTGAGTTCCGGTAAAAGAGAGACAAATCGGGGCTTTGAGTTAGAACGGGAATTGGTCCTTTTATTTTCCTTTTAGCAGTTCGTTAGAGAAGCGAGAGCAGAGAGAGAGAGAGGAAATAGACAGAGAGATGACAGCTGACGATGAGAACGGTCCAAGTCTAAGATCCGCGTGGCTCGTTTAGCGACCTCGTGGTTCCTGGGCCCCGCTTCAAAGGAGTTGTACCCGGGCGCGTGGTTTTTTTTTCCTGGTTAACGTGCGACTACAAAATATATGTCTTATCTTTTTGGCCAAGCGCGACTAAAAAAATATCTATTGCTTTGTTTTCTATTTTCATAAAAAATAAAATCTATTACTTTCTTTAAAAAAAATTAAGGTGGATGAAACTTTTGGCTTCCAAGCTTCAATAACTTTGTTCCAACCTGAATAGGTTTTTTTTATAATTTTTAATCACAAATATCAAATAAAATTATCCTTTAAGATATGAGGCATGAAAGCTTATATAAATAATCTATTTTTAACACGCGTAAGATAGGTTTGATGAATATAATAGTTTGATAATTATTTTATATTAAATTTAATTTATATTTAATTTAAAGAGATATAATTATATGAAAAATTATTATTTTTTTAATATAAAATGATTCTATTATCTTAAAATAAAAAATTTATTTTTAATTTATGAAATTAAATTTATATAATTTATTATACTCTTAAAATTAAATAAACAATTTAAGTTATATAAAATTTTAAAAAATATAATTTTAATTATTAAATAATTTATTTTATCTTAATTTTTACATATATTAAATATAAAATTAAATAAAATTATTTAATTTAATCATATTTATAATATTATTTTAACTTATTTTATCATAATTTCATATTTTAAACGTGATCATAATGTATAAATCATATATGTAATTTTTGTTTATAATTTTTTTGTTTGTTTGTTTGTTTCCCTTTATTGTAACATTTTACAAAGGAAAATAAAGCATTATTTGAAAAAAAAAAAAGAATTGGTAAAGGAAATATTGGATGTACTTACAAAAGAAAAAGGACAACACTGTCCCTAATTTACAAACTTTACATATAGAAAGTACAAGCGAGAGTAAAAAACATGATTAGCAACAGAAAATAGCATCTTCAATAACTTTTACTAATAATAATACTTTGAACCATAATAATAACTATCTTATTTCATTTCATTATGAGCCATAATAATACTTTGAGATTCAATATATGCATAATAATCTAATATATTGTTATCTTGTGACATATTGAATTATGAAATGAGATTAATAATTACACAATTTTATTGATAGAACGATAGATTTTATGATCAAATGATCTTGTTTAATTTTATATATATCAAATATATATAATTATGAAATGAAATAAGTAAGGCTCAAATTTCTGTTTATTTTTTCTTTTGAATATGAGTGGAAAAAAATAGTTCATATTTTTATGATTTTATTTTAAAAGTTATTATTTGTTTTTTATTTTTATTTTTTCTTATTTGTTTTTTTCTAAAAATATATCTAATGAAATTTTAATTAATTTGATTAATTTTATAGTTAATCATAATTAACCGTGTTTAAGATTATATACTACAAAAAATTTCAAAGATAAAAAAATGAATATTAGAAAAAATTTCTTACAGTGCATTTAGATGGGTAATTTTAAAATTTTGAAAGCTTTTGAAATGAAGACAATTTAAAATATATAAAATTAAAAATCTAGTATTTATAACTGTATTGTTTGAATAAATGTTTTATTAAAAAAAATTGACAATGAAATAAAAAATAATTATATTAGATACAAGAAAATATATAAAAAAATGCAATATAAATATCATTATATTTGTAACAATATATAATTAATATTTTTCTTAAAGAATTGTTTGGTTGTTGTTATTTAGGGATTTGAGAATGGATAGTATTTAATGATAATGGTTCTGTCCTGATTTCTGAATGTCATCTTGTTTTCTTTTGCCTTTTTATTTTCAATGATTTTTAATGAAGTGCTGTGGTGGTATATTGTCAAATTTACATAATAAATTGTTGTGTTTATTGAATTTCTTAGAAAGTATGCTAAACTTCATTGAGTACATTGATAGCAACTCTGTCTATATATATATATGTATTAATATTAATATTAATATTGATATGGCTTGAAACCTGTTTCCTAGATAAAATGTTGAAATCAGTGTTTGAATCTAGGTTTAATCGGGGGCAAAGAGTATAATGCATTCACTTGCATTATAGTCTTGATGCAAGTATTATTTTTGAAGATTATAGGATGAAAAAAAGATGGCGCTCTAAGCCCTCCAATGTGGAGTTTAAAAAAAGGTGGAAGATCATATATTTCACGCTGTAACTAATAGTATACTTTGGGTAGTGGATGGAAAAATAAATCAGATTGTTGGTCCCTAGGAAATATAACTAAGGGCAATCACTTTTGGATTTTCTTTCAAATTGTATCATTTACTGGGAGTAGAATTTTCCATTTTCCATTGCTTATACTTTTGAGTTGAATAAATTAAATGTTGGATACATTTGCTTTATCTTGTGAGTGACATGCTCTAAGATTGGGACATATATTTATTTCTAGAACTATTGTTGGGCGTTTTATTTTAAATAAAAATTACATAAATTGCGTTTAGTACTCGTTACGTATCCCAGTTCTGGTTTTAAGATCTAGAAGTTATGACATCAAATTATTCTTTAAGGCATGTACACCTTTCTTCAAAGGGGCATTGTCGTAAAAAAAAGGAACCCATGTTTAAAACAATCTGACTGGCTTGCTATGATAATTAATGCTTCTTTCACAAGTTTGAAAAATCACTTTGCCCCTTTGAATGATTTTATGTCCTTTTCTGCTGAGTTGCGACGATCTTGCAGCAGATCTACAGCTTTTTAGATTTACTTTTGTTGTCAATTGGAAATGCTGCTATTGAATGATATGAAAATTTTGTGGTATACAAGAAGCCAATAAGTAAAGCTTATGAGTTTCTATTAGAGGTCTTTTTTGTCAACGTCTCATTTCAACATTGGACTGAAATAGAGAAGAGAAGGAACTCAGTTAAAAGGTTTGTTGTTTTTCTTTGCACTTGCTGCCTATTTCATGATATCCAAAAGGGCTTTTGGTGAAGGGTAAACTACAGTTTATGTTCTCATCTTTATGATGAATTGGGATGCGATTTGCTATTCTACAACTATTCTGGTCAATTGGTCACAGAAAATAGATCGTCTTGCAACTTTTGCTTTAAGTTAAGAACTACGCTGATTGCTGGGCTTCTACATTTATGGACAAATGTAAGCAAACCATCATTGTGGCTTTAACCAGATGGCAAAAACTGGAGACTTTATGTACCCGCAGTTTATCAATAATTCAAGAATAAGCTTGCAACTTCAAATTTCATTACATTAAAAAAACCCTGTATTAGTATACATTTTGTCACTTAGATAATTTTTTATATGAATAAAATTTTTTACTCAAAAAAGTTGGAAATTTCAAGAGTATTAGATGAAAATTTAAAAATATAAAAAAATTTCATCTGCTTTATTTGTAAAGTCGCCACGCTTAATTTATGATTTAGAGGTGCTTCGGTTAATAATGTACTTTTAAAATTTTAGATGGCTTCTATGGTTGGTTCATGCTTTCGTCTCTTCTGCTGCACAAATTATACTGATTTAAAAAATGCAAAATTTTTTATTGGTCTTTACTTACTAGCATTCTTTATATTATCCTAACAGGAATCTTGATGTGGAGCAGAGCTATAAGAGAGGACAAATTAGTGACCGGGAACTAAAGCAGAGCTATAAGAGAGGTCAAATCAGTGACCGGGATTTTAACGTGGAGCAGAACTATAAGAAAGGCCAAATCAGTGACCGGGAATTACAAGATGCAGTTTGGAAAAATGTGTTTCAGGGAAAGTTGACTTACTTACACCGGAATAAAGGAGAGGCAATGGACCCAACTATTGGAGAACAAGGGGTACTCTTCTTGTGACCCAACGTAATACATTTTTTTTTTTTAAACGGTTTTTTTTTTTTTTTGGATTTTGTTGGAATGAAAGGTTTTCTTTTTTCAAATTGTGTATTTTCAGAGTTGATATTCTTGGTACCATTTCCTAGAGATTCACTTCTCCTTGAAAATTTAAATGTGCAAGTTCTTACAGCACCTGAAAAATAAACTTATGGTTTTATAACTCTGGTTTGAGTTGGAACACATCAAAAAAGAAAAAACTCTGGTTTGAGTTGATCCTTAGCAAATTGTAATCAATTTACTTCTATAATCAAATTGTCAATGATGTTTTTGACTTAACCTCTGTGAAAGGTTATACCGTTCGATTAATTTGTAATACGCAAATGTAACGAGCTTTTATTTTAAACCTAGCAATCATGTGATCTTAGGCAAAAAATTAGCCTAAATTAATCTCTAAAAAAATTAAGTGGGTGTATACATTAAGAAGTCACTTGGTGAAAGAATACAAAATCTTTTATTGTTAATAAAATATGATTTTATATAATTGTATTTGAGTAGCTTGATGGTTTATAAGATCACTAATTCCCATATATATTTTTAAGAGGAGAGGCACTTTTATTTATGCATGAACCCATAACCTATATGTTCACTAATGAGCCAAATGTATGACTCTTATGCACATCTTAAAAGGTTACAAGGTCTCTAGTCACATACAAGATTGGTGGGTAATACGTTGTCACTAAACAACCAAATGTGTGGCTCTTATGTGCATTCTAGAGGATTTCAAGGTCCCTAACCACATATTAGGTTGGTTAGGCAGTCTCTAGAAGAGGGTTGGTTCCAAGCGCTCTGTGGCAAACTGGGTCCAAAATGTTCTAAGCTCCACAGCCAGAGTGTCCATGCCCAGGGCCTTCCTGAAGCTTCACTGTCTGGGCACTGCAGTATTTTTGCCCATTTGCGGACCTGGCCCTTCCAGAAGGTTCCATACCCGCCCTTTTGGCCCGAGTGGGGCTTATCTAGAGCTTTTCTCGTATCCATTGCCCGCACCACCGTTCTGGGGCTCTCTAGAAGCTTCTGGCGCAAGGTCCTTAGGCTCAGTATCAGGCAACTCTGGCAGTGACTTGTTCTTCCGGCTTGGTGCTTGATCGAGGGTCTGACCTCCTTGCACTGGTGCTCAGGCCTTGGCCTCGATGGAGCTCACGCGGGGTGTGACACATGCACATACAATTGTGTGTGTATGCCTGTATGCACATATGTATGAAGATAATCTTGTTATGATCCTCTTTCTTTACTGCCTTTTCTGTTCAACATATCTTTCATATTTAATCTTCTATTTTTTCTATGATTTCATGGTTTCCTAACTCTATGCATAACTTCTGGGCAGTCGAATTTTTGTTGGAGATGTCGTTGTCTTGAAGGACCCTGACAATTCAGATAACTATCTGGTCAGAAGATTGGCGGCCACTGATGGATGTGAAATGGTGTCTAAGGATGAAAAAGATGTGCCATTTGTTCTTGAAAAAGGACCGGTGCTGGGTGTTGGCTGACAATGAAAATTTGAAGCCTAAGGTATAAAATATTAGTAATACAACTGATAAAAGTTTTAGTTGCTATTCTTATACAAATCGATAGGCATCATTAAGATTTGGGGAAACAGAAAACATTAATCTAGTTCATAATCTTTATTCTAAAGGCTGCTTATTAACTATTACCTGCATATCTCTTTACTATTGTGAGCCGAGTTCTTTAATCCGATTTGTCTGAGTAATGAATAACACAACTGTTTATATGGCTTTGGTAGAACCTGATCCATATTCTCCATTTTTCTTTGTTTTCCTTTTTCTTCTTTTGAGACGGTAGGAAGCTAAGGACAGTCGGTTATTTGGTCCAGTTCCCATGACCGACATAGTTGGCCGAGTTATATATTGTCTGCGAACAGCTGTTGATCATGGTCCTATGCAGAACAGGTAGCTCCATTATAGTAATTTTCTATCTCAAACCATTTGATTTTGTGTCAGATGAAAATTTGTTGATTGCTGAAACTTCGATGTTCCTCTAACAGTCATTACGCCATGCGAAAGGATTCTCCAATGTTGGAAATAGAGCTGGATGTCCATGACATGTTGAAAAATCACAAAAGCCTAAACTGTCCATACTTGATGCTGCTCCTTTACTGTGTATCTACCGTCTTTATTGCCCTTTTTCCTCCGTGGATATCGTATTAGTTTAACATGGAAGCTAAAGAGAGAAAAATTTAAATAAATAAAAAAAAGGGTATTGAGGTTCACGTGTTTGTCCTTAAGAGGCACGGCAATTGGGTAATTTCTTTATATCGTTCCAGCTGAAGAGCTCGAAAGCATCAAAACTGTTGTTTTGCCATTGAACTCAAATGAAGCAGTAGAAAGTATGTCCTATCCAAAAATGCAAATATAACTTTAGATAGGGTAAATGGACTGAATACAAAGTGAAAAGTTTAAAAGTAATGTCGTCAGTTGACGTTTGACGGGACGTCAAGGATTTAATTTTGAGTTAAGCTGCCCTTCTCTTTTTACTTGTACAATAATTTTATCCTAATGATGTAACAAAAAAAAGTTAAAAAGTAATAACTATCGATTTGTATAAAAGATTTTAAGGTTTTATTAGTATATTTACTAGTCCGAATATTTGTGTTAGATTTTTTTTTTTCTAATTTGAGCCATTGATAAGTCACTAGAAGGCATTTTTAACCATCTCAGTCCTTGATAATGAAAATTCTTTTTCTTTCATTCTCCAATCTAAATGCATGAGAATTGAGCCGTTGTGATGCTTTTTCGAGGCCTGATTCAGCCCAGATTACGGCATGACGGCCTGTTATTGTCTTAATCCACTATTGCCCATAACAAATGAATATTACCGAGGAAGTCCCTTATCAATGGCCTTTTATATTTTTAGCAAACAGAGAAAAACCTCTCGGTTAAAAACTCAGAAACCCTGCGAAGAGAAAGCAAAACCGCCTGAACGCTCTGCACCAGAACTACCTAACTCATGTCGCATGCACTTCAACTTGTTTCCAATAACATCCTTGGTAAATCTCTCTTACTTGTTTTTTCTTGAGGGGGGGGGGGGGTTCATTTCAATCTCCTTTTCTTTCTCTTTTGTTGCCAAGAAACCGTGAGAAATTAAATGAAAGGAAGTGTTTGCTCTGTTCGAGGTTGAGGGCTGTAATGGGTTTTTTTATACATAACCCATTTTTATTAAAGGATTATTTTTTCTTTAACTTATCCCAAGTGAAGAATAAATTGGTTAATATTTATTAAATTTATTTAAATTTATTCGTGGACTATTTTGACCATTCATGCTGGCTTCTCTGAAATTCTCATGTTAAATTTGTTTAGGTCTGTATTCTTGTGGTTTGGGAGGTTGCTTAACTGTGTTACGCTTTTTTTTTCCTCTATTTTTTTTAATTGCATTTTTGGAAGAGAAAAAAACTATTGAATTTTGCATTTGATTGTAGCATCTCCAATAAGTAATTTCAATTTATGATGAGCCAGAGGAGGACGGAGTCATGTCTTGACGTGTTGGTTTCAGCATTCCTCTGTTGACATGGGGGTAAATGATCTTTGAGTTTGTCCCAGTGCTGGTTCACACGGTGGTTTTATTGTGGCTAAGTTTGTAATGGTCGATTGGCGGTTTTCGTTGGTTTCTTTCAATGCACAACAAAAGATAATGCATTGAGGTTTCATTATCAGCATTAGTTAATAAGGTATAAAGCATAGAGGAAAGTTGAGGACGTTTTAACTTACACAACCTCTAGAAAATGCAAGGGCAGTTGGAAACTAAGCTTTATTAGCGAATGTTGAAGTTTTCCTTTTATATTGTCTAGATAACTAGAACTCTGTTATATTTGTGAGCATCTGCTGACAAAAGAGTTGGTTACTTTTGGTTCTTTTTATGTTCTTTGCTTATCTTAGGAATTCTCTGACAAGATTAGTTTAATAGGCATGCTTAGATTTGTTTTGAGTGAAATTTCAAATTTATTTTTTTTCTTGTTTAAAGTGATTGCAACTTTGTGAAGATTGATGTTGATTGTGGGATTTGCCTAAGGTAGATTATCTGTTTGTGCTATTTATTGGTTGTTTTTGGTTATTGGATTTTTGGGCAAGTCCATCATGGGTGAAGAAATAGGCCCCAAAAAAATCTTGCTACTTAAATGGTTATTTTCTTCATGGGTTTTGCTAACGAGTGCACTAAGTGCATTCTTTAAGGTTACCTATATTAGGTAAGTTACAGTTTTCAATGCATTATAATTCATCAAATTAACTATTAACTACTGCATTTAATATAAATATAATTATAAATAGTAACTTAACTAACCTTAACAAGTGCCCTAAGGGCATTCATCAGCAAAATCCTTTCTTAATTTTTTATCAATGGATACTGATTTTGTTGTAGGTTATGGACCAACAGATTGCAGATATCTCTCCTGTTCAGGTATTTCTGGAGGAGCAGTGACTGTGTCTCGTTGCTTTTCACATAGTGACCACAGAATTTGTTCACATGTGAAGATTAGATCTTTGAAATGTGGTTCCAGGGGAATATCTTTTGTGTGCAGAGCAGGTTCTGGTGATCACTGGAGAAAACCTGACAGCTCGAGGCAAAGGCATGGGTTTCGAGGGAGGAATAGGCAAAATGAAGAAAGAGAGAATTTTGAAACTCTAGATGAATCTGAATTGTTATCTTCAAAAAATGGGCAATTACTCTCCCTCTCTGGTTCCACAAAATTTCAAGCCACTGCAGCCCCAGGTCCCAGAGAGAAGGAGATTGTGCAGCTTTTCAGGAAGGTCCAATCTAAACTTCGAGAAAGAGCTGGTGCTAAAGAAGACAAGAAAACTGGAGCTTTACAGGGAAAAGGTAAAGAGAGTGAAACAGTTGATTGTCTCCTTAAGCTGTTGAGGAAACACTCAGTTGAACAAGGTAAGAAAAACAACAACATTGGCAGCAGCAGCAGAGACCTGAATTTGGATCATCCAGAAGTGAATGGCTCTGCCAATGAAGATAAAAGCTCCAGCTTCTTTGAATCAAATGATAGAGCGAGGAATGAGGCCAAAGAAACTTATGCCCCTACTTTAAGCAGACCAGCATCAAATTTCCAACGGAAGTCGCCTGTTCCACAAATGAAATATCAGCCAATTTATTCTAGCGAGGAGACCATCAATTCTGTGACACATGTCCATTCAGATAGGAAGAGAAATTTGAGTTTGGCTGAGTCACCTCCTGCACCCGATCTTGTGCCTGAATTTGAGGAGGAACTAGAATCTGAAACTGAGCCGGAGCTTGAGCCCGAGTTAATCTATCAAGATCCTGATGTGTTGGATGAGTTGTCTGAGGATGAATCTTCTGCTGTTAATGAGGAGGTGGGGGAACAGCAGATCGGACATGAAGATTTGAATGCATTGAAGCTACCAGAACTCAGGCTACTTGCAAAGTCTCGTGGTTTGAAGGGATTCTCCAAAATGAAGAAGAGCGATTTGGTGTTGTTGCTGAGTAGTAGCTCAGGCTAATTAGTGATGAAGCTAAAACGAAAGCTCACTTTCATTTTGATAGTTCTAAGCTACCCCTTTTTGTGCCAATTTCATAGTACTTATCTTCTATTACTATTTAAACGTATAACTGAGGTGCCAAAAAATTCCTTCCAAGAGGCTTGGAAGCCATGGATGTTTAGATATATTTCTGTCAAGTTAGCCCTTTGCAATTTTTTGAATGTCATTGATAAATCAATCTTCTTTTGTTCTGAACTCAACATGCTTCAGCAGTCATTTGTGATTAAATTTAGTTCTAAATTCTACTTGTCTCTCGGGGTCTTCTTCATTCGCTTTGCTAACTGATGTGTTCTGCGCCCGGTGATTATTGGTAATTGTAAAACTTACATTGATATTAGTACATTCCGTAGTTGGCTGCCACTTCCACGCATGACATAACAAAAGCACAAGAACAACTACATTTGTTCCTTGGAATTGCATGTGTCTATTAAGAAATGTTTGCCAATGTGTAGGCGAAAGGGTTTGAAATCCCAAACTCGAAAACAAAAAGCCTCACTTACGTGGCTCTTTTGGTGTGGGCGTTCTCACCATATCACCACCCGTTTATCTGACAAAAATCTTCCCTCAACCCTTTCTCATTGTCCTCAAATTAAAAGACGCAAATTTTTTGACGACTAGAAGTTTCCTCTCAGAAATCGTTCACTACCCACTTTTGTTTCCTCCAAAGCTGTGGATTTGATAGCTTCTCATCCAACAACAACATAAAAAGGAAATCAGATTGATAGCTCGTTGTTTTCCTCTACGGAGTTAATTAGTTAAACATAGATGATAGATCTAAAATTCCATGCCTTCCTGTAATTCTCTTTTTTGATTGATAAAAAAAATTGGGTTATCTTCATTTTGGTAAAGGCTTGTTGATGGGTCAGAAACTTGATACGATGGTCCAACATCAATCGAAAGATGAGTTGCTTTATCAGGCCGCAAATGCTGGAAACGTCGATGGCATTAAAGCTCTTTGCAGAGAAGGTGCTGGCCTTGAGGTGCATAAACGTAACTATTGATTTCCCTTATTTTGCATATAGTAGTTTCATATAGCTTTCTAAGGTAAATTTGAGGAAAGTTAATAAAGAGCTGGCCTTTAGGGAAAGTTGGTTTTGGCCTTCAGCTCGTGTTAATTGGATATGTTGGAGTCTGGGTGTCTTTTGTAGTTTACAGAAAAACAACAAAGAAGGGAAAGAAGGAATTTGATCATTTATGGTTGATACTTCTTATATGCGTCTTTTGTACAATGAAGGTTGTCATCTGAGTTGTTTTTCTGACGCAGTGGATTGACAGAGATGGAAAAACTCCCCTTGTTGTGACATGCATGAATCCTGAATTAATCGATGTGGCCAAAACTCTAATTGAATTGGGTGCCAATGTCAATGCTTACCGCCCCGGTGGGTTTTTGTAGGCTGTATAGTTTGAATTTTGCCTCAAGTGATTCTTTTTTATAATAAATTGTAAATCTTTGAACAAGTTATATATTTTGTTGCGTGGTTTAGGTAGTATCACTTCAGGCTTAAAACATTTAAACTGGGTACATAATCAGCAATAATTTTGATTTTTTTTCTGTGCGATAAATAGTGTCTTGTGTTAACTCCGCCTCCTTAATTAACCTGCAAATTTTGGTAGGACGAAATGCAGGGACTCCATTACATCATGCTGCAAAGAGAGGCCTGGAGCAGACTGTTAAACTGCTTCTTTCTCATGGCGGTATGTCTTCCTATTTGGTTCTGTATAAGGTGCTATTTGCATTACTCTGGGAAAAGGGGAGAGGATGGGGTGGCGGGTGGTGGTTGGTGGTGGGAACTATGATCTGGTTTGGTATTTACTAAATGTATAATGAGCTCTTGTTTGGCATTAATGTTTTCAGCGAATGCTTTATTGAGGAATGATGATTGTCATACTCCACTTGAGGTTGCTAGAATTAAGGGGTTTACAAATGTTGTCCGTGCAATTGAGGTATGCTTGAGAGATATAAGAGTGTAATTTATTAAAAATACTTCCTTGGTATAGTAGATTGTCTTTCAAATCTTCTTGCATTTGTTCTTCCATCCAGAATCATATTTGCTATTTCTCTGGCTGGTTGCGGGAGTTTCGCGGTCCAGGCTTTCTTGGTGGATTTGCTCCTCAGTTGTTATCAAGAAAAATGTCTGTACAATGTGGATTTACTGCCTTTATATCTCATTTTTTCTTGATAGATTTTCCACACAATCAAATTGTCAATTGGCTAGAACTTAAATGATGCATATTACAAATATATATATACATATATATATATAATTAATTAATTGTTCTAATCCTTGTAGTGCATTTACTTCTTAGCTGATCAGTGTGCATTCTTGCAGCTGGGCTGTCATTGTACCCTGCGGTTCTGGTAATTCCATGAAGCCTTCCAGGTTTGAGCTTGCCATATATTCCACTTTGCAGGTAAGGTACTCAATTGACCTTCACCCTAGACCCCTGGGAAAATTATTGTCTGGCCTTGAGTATTATTCGATAAATAATTTGTGAGAGGTTACCGTAACCATTTAACCGGATAAACCTCTTTTGGTTTTCCTTTTAAGTTTTTTTTTTGTGCATAGGTATAATTTTTTCTGTAACTTTGCCAGTGTTTCCTAAGTTGTTTTCATATCTACATCTTTTTGTTAGTCTTTCAAAGTGATTCTTGATATGAGCAGGATGCACAGCCTCAGACAGTGATTGCTCTTTGGAAGGCCAAAATTGAAGAACCCAAATTTCATAAATCAGATCCATCACTTGCCATATTTGATCAGTCAACCAGTAACTTCCTATAGCTGAACCTATTTCCATTTATTATTTTTACTTGTAACTGCCATTTTTGTAGATAAGTATTTGACTGTGATTAAGAATACTTTTAGTCATGTTATGGTTCTTCTTGTTCTTTACTGCCCTTAGGCACTGGATTGGGGGGTTCTTATTAATTGAATGAGTTACTCCTTTTGGGTTTTGCATGTGACCTTTATACATCTGTAAAGTTCCTTCATCATGCTTGCCTCATTATTTTAGTGTTCTGATCAACTTTGGAATTTGTTGATTTCAATATAAATCATTAATGAAATAGATGATTAAAGGTCTAAGTTCAGATTTATGATTTTTGCTTTTGTTTTCTTTTATCATGCCATTGTTTTGTGCTAGATATCAACAAATCTTTGCATGGCAGATGATAAAAAATTGTTTAGCTATGAAGGCAGTGGTAAATCTAACCATGAAATGGAATAGACATTGACTTTGTCATTTTCGCACTATATTAACCAACAATCTTTTCTTATATAGAATCTCTGGTTGTTTGAACCTTTGTAATCATTTCATTTTTATCTATTAGAAACTCGATACAAGCTTGCATCTGGAAATGAGGGGGACAAACAGCAGCTTCAATGGTTATATAGTGCATGCAAAGGAATTCTTCAGGTACATGGTCTGGGACCTGTAGGTTTAGCTGATTCCAAATGTCATCTTGCTGAAATTCACAGGTCTTAATTTTTGTGCAAAAGCTAAAAGAGAAACTAAATACATGCATGATCAAAGTTCAGAAAGGTGATAATGGATGCTGCCTTCAGAGATTTAATTTGTTATGAAAAGCAAAAATCTCATCTGAGCAGATGCAATGGAGATGGGTGTATAATGTATATATCACCTTTCCAATTAGACATCAGATTCTTTATCTTTTATGGGGAGCATATTGCTGTTACTTCAAATAAGTGTATTTGAAAACTATCCTAGGTATTGAAGATTTCAGGTAAATTTCATCATGAGACATTCTTGTGAAACTAGAATCATTGCTCATTGTAATTGTATGGCGCTCTTATTTGTCTGATTATCTAAACTAGAGTGGGAAAAACTTCTGCTTGTGTTCAAATATGAACAGCCATGAACTGGGAAACATGAGTTCATTATTTTTCTGGGCAGCATTTTGGTATAAATTGTTTTGAATGCTGCCCTCCAAATTATGGAGGCCATATAATTGAAGTATTAATAGAAGACATGTTCATGCCCTGTCATTTGGTTCTGTTAAAGAGGATTGCTTTAAAGTTCTGGTTTCTGATTTAGCATCTTGATTTGTTCACTGACCAAGTTTGTCAAACAAGTGCACTGTCTTCTTGAATTTTCTGTGATTTGTCAGTAGGGACACTGATTATTTTGGATAACAACTTGTTAGTTATGTTGGATTACTTTTGGAAAGTTGGTCTTTATGTTTCACAAACAGTATTATTTTTCTTCACGCATTATATAACATGCAGTAAGCATCTTGCATACTAACATGAGCTTCGATGTTCTAGGTTATCCCTTCCCCAATGGTTCTTGATACCCAAACTTCAAGTGCAGCAACTGCTGCTGAATCTGCAGAACTTAATAATAACCATAGCTCTGGGGCAGTTGATGCAAATGGTTGGGAGAATCCTGCTAATGTTGAAAGTTATAATGGATGGGGTCCTGCTACTGGACAGGCACATTCAGAGTCAAGTAACACTGGATGGATGGATGGACCAACAAGAAAAGACTACAATGGATGGGGTGTCCCTGGTTTTAGGTCAACTGGCAACCAAAGTCATCATGTCCAAACCCTTGGGGATCACAGTGGATGGATGGATACTCCAACAAAAAAAGACAATGACTGGGCTGTGCCTGATTCTAGGCCAACCGGTAAACAAAGTCATCATGTCGAAAACCTCATGGATCCTCCCCCTCTTGTCCAAACAAGTGGATTCAATGCTTCCATGTCTTCAGCTCCATCTGCTCCACCAATTCCCGAGGATGTTTTAGGTGAAGAGCCAATTCATTATCCTTCAATTGATCTGAATCCAGTGGATATACCAGCTCCAACGACAACAGGTTATGGAGCCTTCCCAACAAATGATGCTAAAGATGGTGGTTCTTCCTCATGTATAATATGTTGGGAAGCTCCAATTGAAGGTGCATGCATCCCCTGTGGTCATATGGCTGGTTGCATGTCTTGTTTAAATGAGATAAAGGCCAAAAACGGTTTTTGCCCTGTTTGCCGAGGCAAAATAGATCAAGTTATAAGGCTCTATAGTGTGTGATGGGTGGAAATCCCGTAATGGATCTGGGATTGGTTTATCCATGGCAGATTAAACTTCTTGAAATTTTTAGTTTGTGTTACATTATCATGCTCACTGTAAATGAAATTAGACTGTCATTTTGATTTTACAGAACTGGAATGATCATATATACCTGCCTATATAATGTTTCTGCCCAAGTACTAAGAATAGCATTATTTAGTAAAATATACAATGCGTGGCTTTCCGGGAAACTTCATATGATTTGAGTGATCTAGCTTGAAGCCGAAGCAAGCGACCTGCAATTCCCTGACAGGTTCCTCTTTGTACGTATGTTTCCCTTTATTAGAATTGCACCCTTCCAAGAACAGAGAAATAAAAAGAACATTTGATTAATGATCATTTCTTGCACAAATAGAATGACCAGAGGCCATATATACGTTAATTTAAAGCTAGAATGTTTTATGCTTAGATTTGTTCTGAATGGATGTTCCAGCTGATAAATGTATGTTCTGGAAAATTGACAAATCAAGAGATACGAGTAGGATACTTGTTGCCTGGTTGGGCTCTCTAGCTCCAGAAGAAGCTAGCCAGAATGTACTCGAAGCTTTTAATGATGTCCTGGCCGGTAAAGTTTTCATCTGAGTCTTAAAGATGAAGCACTAAGGGGGCCCCTACCATCCAACATCAATACCCTTTACATCATTTTTTTTTTCTGAACCTGATGGTATAACCTGCACATGGCTTGCCCACTGCTCCTGGTCCTTGCTACGGTATAACTTTATTGGAGTTTCACTCTGCTGGATTGATAGAAACATCACATTATTTTAAATCGTTTAGTTTTCACTATCAATGGAAAACTTATCATTTTTTTTGATAAAATATAAGGTAATTAAATTCTCAGTCTCCTATAAACTTATGAATTTCTAGTTGTTTACTACTGGATCGACTGTGTGACCGACACTTGAAGATATTGGAAGACTAGGATTAGGATAAGTGAGTTTTGAAAGTAAAGCTATCATTGTTTGTTTCAATAGAGAAATGTCTTATTAAATGAAAGCCTTGAAATCGTGAAGGGTGTTGGTATGGGGCATCTGATTAGACTAGAGTTCTTCAAAGTCTCAACTTTTTCTCCATCCCCATATGGGGAATCAATTGCTGAAAACTCTGTCCTCTGAAAACTGGCAACATGGCGTGTACGGCAAATATGGTTGCAATTTTTTTTTATTTAAATTGTATGATCAAGGAAGAAAGTAATGTAATCTGATATGATGTTATTTGACTTCGGCCATATATATGTAAGAGATAAAAGTAGAGTAAAACCTGTTAAAAAAAGTTGGGATTTGCAAGAATGTGTTTTTGAAAAATGAAGTAGAAGTCAAACCAGTGAAAAGAGTCAGTATTTCAGTATTTGGTTCATTAGACAAAACCCTCTTAAACCAAAGCAGTAGCCTAGGGTCATTGCCTTTTTCAGCCATGTTTTCAACACTGCTTACCAAACATTTTAATTTCTTTGAAGCTAAAATCACAGATCTCCATTGAAACTTCGTTTAGTAGATGACTGGTAGGGCAGGTTGTTTCACTTGGTGCCCTACCTACTTTTGGAGGTTTGTAAGCTAATTTCTGCAAATAAAAAAAAAAAAAAAAGGGCAGTTAATGATGCAATGCATGGTTTTTTGTTGTATTATCTCCTTTAGCTTTGATAGTTGAAATTGGGGAGAGACATGATTCAACTTATGCCACTGAAGGATGGGATTGGAGTCTTTGTTCATGTTCAGGAAATATGCTCATAGCTGGCAACAGGAGAAAAATGGGGCAGGCTGTTATAATTAAGGCAGCTAAGGACAAGAAAAGTAGTCTTTTGTACAATATCAATGTGTAATGAATGGAAACAATGAGGCTTATGCTTTTGCCAATTCAATTGGCTGCACTGCACTCTCTTCTTCTTTATCCTCCTTTTATCAACAAGAAGAAATTTCTCCTCAAATTTTTTTGAAATTTTCTTTTCCTGTAAAACTGGTATTGTTTCATCTTTCTTGATATCTTTTTCTTTTGGGATTAAAAAAAGAAAGAATCATGTAGTTGACCCCTTTTAATTTTTTCATTCACATAACAAAGTTTAAAAAAAAAAAAAAAAAGCCCAATAGCTGACAAGAGTTTTTTTTACCTGAGTTCTTTTTTTTTTTTTTTCATGTGACTTGCAACTATACCTGTATCTGCTATTCACAACGAAAAATCAGAGTTGAACAAGACAGAAGATGGATATTTCTTCCATTGGATGGAAACGTGAAAGTAGAGTCTCATCAGCTATCATGTATCTACCATAAGATGCCAAATTTTTTTAGCACTATAATGTTAACAATTTATGAGATATTCTTCTTCAGAAATGAAATCAGTGTCCATACAATGGTCATGCAAATACAGATTCCAGATCCTCCAAATTTTATCCTTTCATATAATCATCTGATGAATTATTTTTTTTTACTTCGTACAAATAATTTCATAAATTTTTTGCAATCATTTTATTAAATATTATAATTATTTGAGGAAATCAACAAGAATTGCTATCATCACCCGAAGTTGGAATTTTAATTCCTTATTTTTTAATTAATTTTTAGTCAGCTAGCCTATGAAATAAGTGATCAACTGATGGTAAACATTGCAATTCAATAAAAAAGGGCTTAAAAAAGAAAAAGGGCAAAAAAAGCCGACACATGCAATTGCGAAAGGTGGGAAACGACAAGGGTATATGAGTCATTTGATGAGTTATTACACGTAAGACCAATCCTAGACTCCTAGTACACTGTACATTTTCCTTCTAATCTTGTATGATTTCATTCTATTGTATTAAAATTGACTAATAATAAAAAAAGTTTTGTTAACTAGTGTTTAAAAATTTTGTTTTTTAAAATTAATCTTAAATTTTAAATTATTATTTTTAATACATTAAAATTTATGAAATTAATTATTATTATTTTTAATACATTAAAATTTATGAAATTAATTATTATATTTAATATAAAATATTATTAAAAAAATTTAACTAGTTAATAAAATCCTAATTAAAAAAAAAACCTAAGCCCTTCAATTCTTTTTCTCTGTTTCAACTAAGCATGATTAAAAATTAATTAACCTTAATTAATTCCAAGTCTTCCCCACTGTTAATTAATTTTTTTCTCATAACCCAACAAATCTTCAACTAAATAGGGCCCCACCCAGTCTACCCTTTTGCTTCCTTTTCCGGTATTTTCCCTTCGTTTTTCCACTTTTCTTTCTTTAGTTTCTTGCATCTCTCTTTCTCTCTTGCAGCTTTGCTGATGAAAAAAAGCTGAGCTTGAAATTATTATGTTTGATGCTTAAAGGTTTAATATTTGGTTATTTCCATTGAAGTGTTTTTCATTGCTTAAATGTCCATCAAGATCTGTGCTTTCTTTGTTTCACCAGCTTAAACCCACTTCAAGAAAGAGGTATGCTAGAAACGTGCTTCCTTTAAATATTGATTTGTAAATTTTTTAAAATTTTTTTCTGCAATATTTTGGTGGGTTTTGATTATATAAAGTGGTGTTGTTGTTTTGAATCGGATTTTATGTGAATTTTCCTTTTGGGTTTTCTTAGTTGTGAACTGTGGGGTAGTATTTCAATTATGTTTCTAATCGAAGAGAAGAAAAAAAAAACCTTTTCTTTTTTTTGGTTCAGTGAATTTACATAGTACCTTTTTTTTTGGTTGCTGATAACTAAGAGGAAGAAAATGGAACTTTGGATCTTACGGTAGCTCTATTAAACTTAGCTTTTGATGTTGTTGGACTTCAAACTCTTATCAAGCTTTCTTCAGCTACTAACTGAAGGGTGAAAAGATTTTCATCATTGAAGTTTAAGAAATCTCTATCCCTGTCTCTTTCACTCTCTCAAGAAACAATGGAGATGTGAGTATTAGACATTTAGAATTTACACTTTTATCAAGCATCTTCACCACCAAATAAACTATGAAAACATTTTCATATAAAACTTTAGTAGCTTTTTTTTCTTCTTTGTTGCCTTCCGAGATCCCAATGGTTATTTGTGTTTTTTTTTCTCATAAAGGCTATTAGTCAAAAGCCTCTTTCACTTACCAAGCTACTATTAATTTGTGGAGATCTTATCTTTTATTTTATTTCATAGTATTATTTTTTGTTGGAAAGCTAGTCTAATGTTTCCTTAGACTATAAAGGGAAAGTCAACATGGAAAATGCCTTGAATGTGTAAGTAATATGTTTTTCCTGTCACAATGGATGTGTGTTCTTCCCACAGGCATTAATCAAAAGCCTTTTTTTTGACTTGACGACCTGAGGTTATAGGGATTGAACCTTGCCTATTGAAGTTAAAAGTCCAATATTCTACAAACATATCACACAAATGTTGGCTAGTCAAAAGCCTTTTCTTCATACTGAATCTTATAAAATCTGATATTTTATTTTTTTATTAAATTGGAAATTTAGTCAAGTGGATTTCCTTAGATTGTGGATAAAAGATCAATTTCCATGGCAACGGTGAATAAATAATTCAGGAGCAGTGTATGTGTTTGTTTGTGTTCCTCACATAGACATCAATCACAACTCTTTCTCTTGTTATAAAAAAATTATAAAAATTGATCTTTTATATTTTTGTTCGACATCTAGATGAGTGGGCTTCCTTAGATTATGGGAAAAAGTCAATACAGACAAAGATGCAAACTTAAGTTTTTTCAAGGGCACTCTTGTACCTATGAACAGATCATGCCTGAGCAGTTTTTATATTGCTTCCAATTATAAGTATTTTCTTTTTTTAAATTTTCATATGCTCCATTAAATACAGGTCAGATGGACACAACCTCCGTGAGATGTCTTATCAACAGTATCTCTCGATTCATTCATCTCGTATCATGCCATACAATAAAAGTTGTTCCCATTGAAGAGGATTACAGCAATATGGTTGTTGTGTTAAAACTTTTAAAACCACTGCTTGATGATGTTGTTGATTGCGAGATACCTTCAGATGAAATTCTATATAAAGAGTGTGAAGAGCTAGACATTCTTGTTAACGAGGCTCGAGAATTGATGGAGAACTGGTGTCCTAAGATGAGCAAAATCCACAGGGTGAGTTTAATTTTAATCTTTACTGAATATATTTTCCCTCGGTAGAATGACACCTAAAAGAAAAAAAAAATGCTGCTGGAAACAAGGATTCCGTTTCCAGTTGATTTGTCTATGTTTTTTGGTTCTTAATTTAGTGGCATTGTGTCAAAACTCTGTTGTAACATCAGTTTTCTATGAGCATATTCTATTTTCTACTCATGATTTTTTTTTAATTAATGTTCAAAAAAACAGTTTCCATCAATTCAGTCCAATTTAGGTGCTGTTCAGACAGGACAGAGGAGCCAAATAGTACCCACCATCAATTTGAGATACTTACTAAACCATTGATAAGATGGATGCCCAGCCGCTTTAATACTAGGCATAATGAGTATAAGCATATAAAATTTGCCTTCTTTGAAATTCTGTGAAGTTTCAGTTAATTTGTAGGATATTATAGTTTATAGAAGAAACCTTGAATGACTCCAAATGTAACCTGGTTTGTTATAGACTACGAGAAAATCTTTTCTCGCAAATGTAACACAGTCAAATTTAAAGGTATTAATGATGGTGCCAAATAGGTATTACAATGTAATACTTTGTAGAAGAACACTTGAGTCATAAAATGGCAAAGCTAATCCAGTTTATTATAGATTGCGATAAAGTGCATTTATGTCCTCATGTTTTTCCTGCAATCAAATGTAGCATTTAGTAAAACGAACAAGGAAGGTGCTCGTTATCCTAATTCGTAAAGTTCTTTGATGGTATATCAAGGATCTGAGATCAAATGATGCCTTCATTATTGGGAGGGGGGAGGGGTTGGGGGGTGGGAGGAAGGGAAAGGGAGGACTTCCCCCTATTATCTGGCACAGTCGCCCAAAAGAAAATAAGCTTGAATATTGGATGTTGAGATGTTTTACGCATACCTTCCCTTCTTGAGTAAAAGAAATAGGATTTTCAGGCTTCTACTACTATTATATTCCAATTATTTATTTATGTTTTAAAAACATGTACAGGTTCTCCAGAGTGTGCCTTTTCTGATAAAAATGCAAAGCTCTTCACTTCACATATGTCACATATTATATAGATTGTTGCAGTCATCGCCATCCACTTCAAGTATAACCAGTGTTCAGGTATGCAAAAATCAAATTTGTTGCGTCATACTATGTTTGGATGATAAAAATGCTATTCATTTTCTTTCTGCAAATTTTATTGTCCTTTTAGAAATTGTTAAAGCAGCTGAATGGAAACTGCCATCAATTTCTCAGTGCTGAGCTCACTTTGAGTAGTGAGACTAATTGATGTTCAACTGTTTCAGCACTGTATGCGGGGAATTAAATGTCTGAAGCAGGAGAGACTATCAGAAAATATAGGGGAGGCGTTGAGAAGTCTAAAAGATGATGCTATTCCTTGCACTGATAATCTGGTAAAAGTTATCAAGTCACTGAACCTGGTATCAAACCAGGAAATGTTAAAAGAGACTGTGGCTGTGGAAAAAGAGAGAATGAATGCGCAAGTCAACAATGAAAAAGGGAAATTGGATCAAATCAATCAGATTGTGGATCTTATCTCCCATATACGTGATTATATGCTTAAAATTGAGCACTTTGAACCCACAAGTGGCATTTTGATTCCTCCACACTTCCTTTGCCCCCTGTCATTGGAACTTATGATGGATCCTGTTATTGTGGCTTCTGGGCAAACTTATGACAGGGCCTCCATCCAAAAGTGGCTTGATAGTGGACTGACCATTTGCCCAAAGACCCGTCAATCACTCACGCATACAAATCTCATTCCAAATTACATGGTCAAAGCTATGGTAGCAAGTTGGTGTGAGGAAAACAACTTACAACTTTCCAATAAAACTGGGCATGCAAAACTTGTCTCAATCTCTTCTCCTTCAAATCATATATCTCCTCAAGATTTAACACGTACTGATAGTTTCCATTGCTTTGCAAACAGTAGTAGTTCCACATCAAGATCATCTCTTGAAGTTGGAAATGGTTTAGAGAAGCAGAAGATTGACATCTCATCAAGATTTAGTGGAGAATGCAATAGATGCCAAAGCAGGGAGATTGACAAGTGTGACCACCAATCCCCTGAGCAATCATATATTCACAGCAGGACTGAATCAGCCTTAAGTGAAATTTCCAGTATTGATTATGTGCCTCCTGCTTCGAATGACTTGTCAAGGAGGTTGAAGAAATGTGAAATGAGTGAGTTAGATGAAATTTCATCTGAATGCCTTGGCACTTCTCCTTCAACAAAAGAATCTGGATTTTCTTCCTGGAAAACTGGAAAGCAGTTGCAGGTCTCTGGTACAAAAGTAGAAGAGGCTGTCAATGGAAACCATAATTATAATAGAGCAAACTCCATTACATTTTCTGGGTCAGGAGGTGATGATTTGACCACAAGTTCCCATGTGAAGAAATTAGTAGACAACCTTAAAAGCCTATCAAATGAAGTCCAAACTACAGCTGCGGCAGAATTGCGCCTTCTTGCAAAGCACAACATGGACAATCGTATGATTATAGGTCGATGTGGTGCTATTGCACCATTACTTTCTCTGTTATACTCAGAAGTAAAGCTAACCCAAGAGCATGCCGTTACAGCTCTTTTAAATCTCTCAATTAATGAAGATAATAAGGCTATTATTGCAGAATCGGGAGCAATCGAGCCACTAATTCATGTTTTAAAGTCTGGAAATGATGGAGCCAAAGAAAATTCTGCGGCAGCTTTATTCAGTCTTTCTGTACTGGAAGAGTACAAGGCTAGGATTGGACGCTCTGGTGCTGTCAAAGCCTTGGTGAATCTTCTGTGCTCAGGAACATTGAGAGGAAAAAAAGATGCTGCTACTGCTTTGTTTAACTTATCAATCTTTCATGAAAATAAGGCTCGTATAGTTCAAGCAGGTGCGGTAAAATACCTTGTTGAGTTAATGGATCCTGATAGTGGGATGGTTGACAAGGCAGTTGCTCTTCTCTCAAACCTTTCAACAATCGGGGAAGGGCGTGTGGCAATTGTACGAGAAGGTGGTATCCCATTACTAGTTGAAGTTGTTGAATCAGGATCACAGAGGGGTAGGGAAAATGCTGCCTCTGTATTGCTGCAACTATGCCTTAATAATCCCAAGTTCTGTACCCTGGTTTTGCAAGAAGGGGCTGTGCCACCCCTTGTCGGATTGTCTCAGTCTGGCACACCAAGAGCAAAAGAAAAGGTATGCAGCTTAGCTTTTTCCTCTTCTTCTGTTATGGTGCTGCAATTCTTGCATTCTGTGCTCCTTTTTTTGGGATCTTAATGTAATAAGCAATATTGTGATTATATTCCTTACTTTTGGTTTCATTTCACCAGTAAAGTTGAATTGTGATTATATTGCTTATATTTTATGTGATGAACTCTATTGAGGGGTTCTACCACTTGTCCAATTATTTATCAGAAATTGAACCTAGCATCTGTGATTCTTATTGTAACTAATTAGAATGTTTGGAAAATGTGTCATGTTTCCAAAACCTGTTGTGAAAAGTAGGGACATCAGAAAGGCACAAGGTTTTCTTGTAAAGCTCATTAAACCTTAAATTTGGTGATTGCTTATTAATTACATGTTTGATTACTGTTTAATCTAAAGAAAATTGTCTGAATGCACAAGAGAAAATGCATGATATATTATTTATTTACTGTTGCAGGCACAACAGCTTCTCAGTCACTTCCGGAATCAGAGAGAAGGTGCCACGGGGAAGGTCAAGACATGAAAACTGACAAATTTTGTTATATATATATATATATATATATATATATATATAGTTTTTGATATCCTACTCCATGTAAGTTGTTCTTCCTCAATTGGTCCTTTCAGAGCTCTCTTTTCAAACATTCTTAAGCTCTCCAGCTATATGCATTAGCATTGTGAACTATATTCTTTGTTTGTTTTTAACCCCTTTTTAAAGGCGGTTAGGGGGTGGGGAAATAGGGCAAGCGTTCCCTGGAGGTGATGGGTTATTTATAAGTTACTGCGTAATTTTCCTTAGAACTTGGCTTGCCATAGTACCGAGTGTAGGTTTTCATTTAGTTTTAGTTTATGTAGTAACAGATTTGTTCCCTAGTTTTGTAGATATGTTGTACATATGCTATAGACTCTTGTAATCTGTTATGGGATCTTGTTGAAAGATATATTTGCTATTTAGTGGCAAATGTTCCCTTTTCTGTGCTTTTGTTTTTTATCTTGTACCTTTACAGGCACTAGATTTCAAAGTTTTATTAAGGTTAGTTGCTCTTAAATCCCAAATAATTTTTGTTTATATGTGCTTTTACACTTGTTTGACGAAAATGCTTCTTACTTCTACCTGGTACTCAGCAATACTGTCAACTGGAAAAGAATGATCAACCGACTGGTAGATATGCTACTTAACCATCTTGTGGCTCAAAGCATCTGCCGGGGGGTTGAAGTAATTGATTCTCTCCCTCTCTCTCTCCTGAGTCTGTGTCAAACTGGGAAGCACGCCATTAATGGGAATGGGTTGGCAAATGAATAATTCTGAAAACAATATCAGAAGGCAGCTTTGGGAGCTTTCTTCTGATTTTAAGTACAATGGCAAGTGAATCAATACCTGTGTGGTTATCTACTCATCTCTATTGAAAATTATTGTTTCTGCCAACCTTTTCAGGTTAAAGAACTCCAAATTCGTACTCCTGCATTTGTAACAGGAGGGATTGTTCTTTTTAGGCTACTTCTCGTGGTTTACTGCCCCTGCTATGCGCTTTCCCAACCAAGGAAATCAAATTGAATGCCATTCGTTCACTTCAATTTTGAAGGAAAAAGACAAACCAGAAGGTATTTAGTATCTATGGCTAAGGGCCTAAGGCTATCCCATAAAACCACAAGTTATTTCCTCTTGTTTTACATTCTCTGCCCTAATTTCCTGCAAGTTACAACTTAAGCAAAGCCGACATGTTCAATGGTCCAGAAACACCCAAAATCTTCAAGCTATCAAATTGTCGCTCAAAATCTAAGCCACTAGTTGACAAACTAAACGATATTTGCAAAGTTTCATCCTTGTTACTGCAGTACTCATATGATAATACGTGACTTTTCACCTGAAACTTGCAGCATGGTCCACACTCTACTGGTACGTATTACTGTTTTGAAAAGGAAAATACCCAAGGTAGGCCCTGGTCCACTAATCTTATGTATGGGCCCATAATATAGAACAGCTTGCATTTTGGGTACGAAAATACTTCCCACCAACAATCAGACTCTTTAAGTACTTCTTGTTACTGTTCCCTGCATTATAGGTGACCATTCGCCCACTGCGTCACACTGATCTCTGGTGTGATCAATTCTTATTCATGAATCTCTACTTTGATCCTCCATGACCTTTCGACGAGTGTTCTTTTCGTGTCAAAGGATAAAAATCTGAGATTCAAACCGTAGATTTATAAATAATTAGATTAAAAGCATCCACTTGAAATAAGATGTAAATTCATTCATACACTCTGAATTTGAAAAATTAAATCGACATGATGTTTGTATCATGTGAGAGTGATATAAAAAAGGGTTTCTAGATGAGAGAACATTGTGTTCCATTGAATCTGTCAAAAAAATGCAGAAATGCCCACCTCAAGAAGTGTGATACTGCTTTTGTCACAAGTCACCTGTGAAAGAACCCAACTTTAGACCAAAATCATTTGGATTCAGGTCGGGCCCGGCTGAATATGTCCACCTCAAACTTGAAACATCAAGCATGACCAGCTGCTAATACAAACATTAAAATGTTTGAAAAAAGACTAAAATGTTAACTATTAGGGAGTAGCTATCAATTATTAATCACAAAGGGATCAATGGAGATATTGGTGTAAGAAAGGATTGTTGAGAACTTACTTGAAACTCTTCTCCCATGGGAAGTTCGGTAAATTTATAATTGTTGAGAGTCTATTTTAAATTTCACGTAGAAAGTTTAAAAATTATAAGAGATTTTATCTTTATAAATAAGTTATTTTGGTTTTAGTTAATTTATCTCAAATAATTAAACATCAAAAGAATATGAGTGAGTTTTTAAAAGAGTGTAATTAAATTTTGGATTAAGTTTTGAGTAATTTTTTTAGTGATTTTTCTTTTTCCAAAAGTTTCATTGTAAACTTTATTTATTAGTGAATTAGAGTTAAAGGAGGTCACTTTAAATTGGGTCAAATTAAGTATATTTGAATATTCTTATTTTTGTTTTGGATTTATTCTATTATTTATATGTTAGTATGTGCATGTGTGTTGTTCGCAAACAGGGATGCGGTTAGGATTGGGGATTTGAGATGTTCCTTGGGACATTTGCCTGCATGTTGAAGCTTTTATGTATCAGCATATGGATGTGTTGGGGGGCCAAAATTAAAAGGCCAATTTGAAGCAAAGCAAAAATTTGGTCCCTCTCATCAATTATAGATAACTTTCTAACAAGTTCGTGGATTGAATAGTAGAGACCCCTCTTAAAGGAAAGTTATAATTCCATAATTACTTGAAGTACCAAGAAAAAAGTTGATAAATTCATATGACTGAGACTTGAGTTAAAAATTTCACCTTTATAAATAAATTTTTTTTTTTGTTCTCAATAAATAGAAGGTCATTTGCAATTTAATTTAGTTTGCATTAACTTTTCTTTGTTAAAAAATTCTTGGTTTTCAACTCAAATTTTGAAAATTCTTTGATGAAAAATCTAAAGAATATTACTATCTTGGTATTGCTTTTTCTCAAATAAAAAAAAAAAATTATCACTTCAATATAAAAGATTATACATCAATTATTGAATCAAATATTTTTATTTTTTAATAAATATATGATAATTTTTAATTTCAAAATGATTGAATTCATTACTTTCATTTTAGAAAAAAATTCGATAAAAGAAAAGGATGTGGATAAGATTAATATGCTGGCCTCAGTCATCAGTAAATTGGAGACTTTCACTTTCAAATGCTTTTTACTTAACAGAACTGCAGTTAGACAAATACTATGAACTTTGGTCACGTCGTTAACTTATCTTTTATAAATTTGGTTACAGTTTCGCATCAATAATTAATAACTGACCAATATTGTTAGGGCTAAAATTTTATCCTATAGATAGTCCAAAAAAGAAAATTCAAGCCTAGTCTAACAAGCCATCCCCTTTTCCCCAAAATTACCAAAGGAAAAAAAAAAAAGAAAATGAAAAAACCAAAATAAAATGTGGGTTTTGATTTGAATCATTAATGTGAATCTTGCATTAGTTTTCAAGGGTAAGGTTCAAAACAGCTGTGTGGCTTTAGAAACGTGCAAGTTTTCTCAAACAGCTGTATTGATAAATTAATGATAGTGATGTGGGTTTTGTTTTCTTTCTTTCTTTTTTTTTCATACTTAATATAATAATATATATGATTTCTAATTTCAAAGAATTTTTACACAAAAAAGGGTTGCTGCCAGCTTTTATGATCAAAGAATCGGTGTTTATGGATGCATATGGTGTGAATAATCGAGTTTCTTAAGTATTACTATGTTTTACTTTAGAAAATGGAACTTGAGCTGATAATTATTTAAAGAGAAATTATTAAATATATTAATAGTTAAACTTTTTAATTTTATAATCAGGATTAAAATAATAAAATGTTCTTTATATGTTAAAAAAAAAGAGAGATATGTGTTATCATTTTAATTTCACTTATAAAATTAAAAAATTTTACTATTAGCATATCAATTAATTTTTTTATTTAAATATCTAAAAAAATATATAGAGTTATAACTTATAAAGCTTTCGAGATAATTACGCGTATAAATATAATAGTTTTATTTGACTCATGTCAAAAATTTAATCAATGAAATTATTTAAAAATAAAATATAAATATAAAATTAAGGGTATTAATATCTTTTAAATTTTTATATAATATGTTTTTTTAATATCTATCTTTAAAAAAAAAAAAAAAACTACTCACTTCTCCTTAAAAAAATCCATACTTAACTATAACAGTTTCTTGTTTTGTGAGAAAATTATATATATATATATATATATATAAATTGTCATTGTACATGTATGCGTGCATAATATAGTTGGAATTTTAACATGTGAATGAGGTGAATTTAAAAAACATTTAGAGCTATCTCATTGTGTAATTTAAAAAAACAATGGACTAAATTGATTATATAATCTTTTCTTTATTTAACTAAATTATTTATTATTATATTGTTCAAAAATAAATTTTTATTATTTTATAAAAAATTATATTTAATAATATTAAATATTATTTAATTAACATGCCATGTAAAATAATTAATTTGTGTACTAATTACAATAATTAATAATTAATATGATAATTTTAATATATAAATAAAAAACTTTTAAATATACTAATTTTAAAAAGTGCCTTTAAATAATAATAAAAAAAAACCATACTTGTAAGAACTCAAGAGAACCAAAAGAGATAAATGTGGAGTTTATTTCCCATGCAAGTATATTTAAAATTTTTTATTCTTAAACTAGAATATTTTAATTTTATTTCTTAAATAAGGTATTTTCTAAATACAAATGCCATGTCATGACTTGTATGACAAAAATTTGCCACATAGCATTTTTCTTCGTTCTTCTTTTATTCGTTCCATACTTTCATCACTGTTCACCATAATGGCCGGCCGGCCACGAACCACCGTTGGAAGGAGCAAGATAATTTCGATGTACGTCGAACAAGTTCAGGGCAAAGCAACCCCACCCGCTAAAACCTTGAAGCTTTTGGGCATTTGGTCTGCACCTCAATATTCACGTGGCCAAATCAAGTCTCCCACAAACTCACTCCCTCTTCTCTCTACGAAATTTGAATCCTTCCTCAACAAGATTTCATTTTTTAAAAAAATTTTCGCCACCAACATTCCACGCAGATGAAACTCTATTTCTCCCGAGCAAACTTTAAAGTCAACCGTTTTTCTCCGATTCACCAATCAGCATCCACCATGATCGACAACGAAGAAATCACTCAAATCCACATCATTCAATGCTATCCCTCGATTTAGATCGCCTGGAAATGGTTACTGCTCTAGGACAAGAAGCGAAAGGAGTGATGTTAAGTGGTAGTTTTTGCCACATAAGCCATAACATGTAAAACTTTATTATATCGACTCAGAAATGTAAAACTTTGAAATGGATGTGCAAATGGTGTGGCGAAAGCTTTTATGTTGTTGTGGTGTTATTTTAACTAGTTGCAAGTCAGTCTAAATATGTTGCTTCTTTCATTGGTGGTTGGTGGCCAATCATCTTTGGTGAAGCAGTGATGAAAATAGGGAACCAAAAAAATGCAAAAATTGTTAAAGTGGCAAGTTTTTGCCACATAAGCCATGACATGGTACTTATGTTTTAGAAAATACCTTATTTAAAAAGTACTCCAATTTAAAAATAAAGATTTTAAAATATACTTGTTTGGGAAAAGCCGTGGTAAATGTACGTGGTTTTCTACAAGAACAAGGCAAGGGGCACGTGCATGGCACACGCCATTACTAATAAAATAATTTTACCACCAAACATTAATCTGTTGTTTAAAAAATTATGACAAAGATTTTCAGTGACAAAAAACCTAGTGAAAAACTACAGTTCCAACAATTGTCTTGTTTGCTTTTATTGGCTACTACCGCACAATATGTTTCCAAAAGCATTACATATTAGATTTTTGTATTCAACAAATCAGGAAAAAATATTTATTTAATGACTGAATAAAGATTAATTTCTAACAAATTGATTTGCTTAACACAAATATATAAAAACAATATGGGCATCTTAATAATAAAATGTTACTTACTATATATATTTTGCTTTTCTCAAGGAAGGAAAAATGGAAAATGAGGGCAGCTTATGTTTTCACTTTGCCCTCTCTGCCCGGATTTTTATTTTTATTTCTACTTATGATGGTTTAGATATTTGCATTGGCATGGATTTGCCTCTTTTGCATCTTCCATGTTGGTCCTTTTTCATCACAAACAAAAGGGGCCCAAGTACAAATTCACATCTTTGAATAGTTTAGTTCATTTATAAGCTTTTAACAATGGTGATTATGAGTCTCAACTACTTTTTCCTGTTTAACCTGCCCCAGGTTAGGACATTTAAAAAATCTATGGGGACCTTGGAAATGTTCATAAAAAAAGTAGTTCACAAATTTCACAGTACTCCACCTGTTATGTATTGGATACCACTAGGATTATCTATATAACCACAAAGCAATAAACAATTTTCATCTCATTATTTGACATCATAGTCTTTGGTCATGCCTTTATGTGGTATATATATCTTTTTAAATATGATGCAATGTGTCTGGGTCCATTTACTATCATATCCAAACTTGTGATATGTACCCAAATATCAAATT